TTTGTGCTGCTGCTCCCAATTGCCTATCCAAAACTACAACAGATATTTTGGTCAACGGCGTTGTTGTCCGAGCTCTCATTGATACCGGCAGCTCCAGAAGTTTCGTTTCTTCATCAATCCTGCAAACTCATAACTGGGAGCTATTTCCGTACGACTCTGTGATAACAATGGCGTCGACGATACATTCATGTTCCACCAAAGGTTATTGCCTTGTGTCCATTCAGTACAAGGATGCTATATACGAACGTTTCAGACTTTGTGTATTACCGAACCTTTGTGCAGACGTCCTTCTCGGACATGACTTTCTGGGGTTACATGATAAAGTCGAAATTCCATTCGGTGGTCAACGGGGTACCCTAACTGTATGTGGCGTAACATCCGCAAAACTGGAATCTCCATCCTTATTCACCAATCTTGCTCCAAATTACAAACCGATCGCCACAAAATCTCGTCGTCATACACCGGAAGATGAACAATTCATACAAACGGAAGTAGACCAAATGCTTACCGATGGCATAATCGAACCATCAAATTCTCCGTGGAGAGCACAAGTGCTCGTTACCCGCAATGCAAATCACAAGAGACGCATGGTGATAGACTACAGCCAGACAATCAATCGCTTCACCTACCTTGACGCTTATCCTTTACCAAGGCTCGACCAAATGATTGAAACCATCGCACGCTACACTGTCTACAGCACACTGGATCTCCAGAGTGCATATCATCAGGTTCCAATAATCGAGTCAGACAAGCCATTCACAGCGTTCGAAGCTGGGGGGAACCTATACCAGTTTCGGCGCATTCCTTTTGGAGTGACAAACGGGGTCGCGTGTTTTCAGCGAACGCTGAACAATATAATCAAAGCCGAACAGGTAAAAGACACATTCGCTTATATCGATAACGTCACTATATGCGGCAAAACGAGAGATGAACATGACCGTAATCTTAGGCATTTTCTCGATGTCGCAAAAACATACAATATTACTTTGAACGATACGAAAAGCAGCTTCGCAACTGAAGAGATTACTCTCTTAGGTTACAAGGTCTCCAAAGGTATTATAAGACCTGACCCAGAACGCATGCGCCCCATAAGAGAACTCCCACTTCCAGAGAACGGGAAATCGCAGCAAAGAGCCGTTGGTTTGTTTGCCTACTATTCACAGTGGATACCGGCGTTCTCTGACAAAATTCATCCATTGGTTAAAAACAAAATATTTCCGCTCCCGGAGAATGCCCGAACAGCATTTGAGAACCTTAAACACGAACTAGAAAATGCGATGGTAGTTACTGTCGACTACAATATTCCTCTCGTTGTTGAAACTGATGCGTCCGACATCGCTATTGGTGCATCCCTGAGCCAGGGTAGCCGGCCGGTCGCCTTTTTCTCCAGAACCTTGACTGCAAGCGAGAAAAATCATTCTGCTGTTGAAAAAGAAGCATATGCTATAGTTGAAGCGATCCGCAAATGGCGCCACTATCTCCTCGGGAGACATTTTAAATTGATTACGGATCAACGTTCGGTAGCCTTTATGTATGGGAACCAACAGAAAAGTAAAATAAAGAACGACAAGATTGAACGGTGGAAAATCGAGTTGGCAGGGTACAACTACGACGTCGTCTATAGACCTGGAACAGATAACCGCGTTGCTGATACCCTATCTCGTAACCTTTGTGCCAACATTACTGGGACGGAAAAACTTGAAGAGCTTCACAACATATTATGCCATCCCGGGGTCACGAGATTTGCACATTTTGTTCGTTCTAAGAATCTTCCTTTTTCAGTCAGCGATATCCGACGTGTGGTGTCCAACTGTTCCACTTGCTCCGAGCTCAAACCAAAATTTTGTGACACCTTTCGTGGCCAGCTTATCAAAGCCACACAACCGTTCGAACGCCTTAGTATCGACTTTAAAGGCCCACTTCCCTCAAACACTCGTAATAAGTACCTCTTAACAATCGTTGACGAGTATTCTCGATTCCCTTTTGCTTATCCCTGCGCCGATACGTCCTCTTCCACTGTAATTCGTTGTTTGAGTCAACTGTTTTCACTGTTTGGTATGCCTGCTTATATTCACTCAGATCGCGGTTCTGCATTCATATCAACTGAACTCAAACAATTTTTGTTCGATAAAGGCGTTGCCAGTAGTCACACCGCTGCATATAATCCACAATGTAATGGTCAGGTTGAACGACTTAATGGTACCCTTTGGAAGACCATCTGCCTGGCTCTAAAATCGCGCGGCTTGCCTGTCACACATTGGGAGGCTGTCCTCCTTGATGCTCTTCACTGTATCAGATCCCTGTTATGTACTAGTATCAACTGTACCCCACACGAACGTTTTATGCCGTTCACACGACGATCAGCCAACGGTGCCTCCCTACCTACCTGGCTTACTGTCCCTGGGCCAATCCTTTTAAATCGCAATGATCGAGTCTCTAAATATGACCCTCTGGTAGAGGAAGTGGAACTCGTCTCTTGTAATCCACAGTACGCCCACATAGTTCGTCCAGATGGCAAACACGAAACCGTATCCTTGCGCCGCTTGGCTCCCAAAGGCAACGACATGACATCCGACACAGAACAGGAACCAATACATATCGCCGAACAAGGGGAGCCTCACACAACACCAACAATCCACCGTGGTTGCTCAGAAACTGAACTCTTGCCTATTAACGATGCCTCGCCATCCCATTCTAGTGCAGATCCAGGAAATCACTTGGACACTCTTATCCGACAACAGCGCACTCACCCATATAATCTACGCAACAGAGAGGCGTAAACGACTCCACGTAACTATTATAGCCTTTTATTTTTTTACATTCTTTCTCCGCAAAGTACACACTTATTCCAAGGCGGGGAGAATGTCATGACTATATAACCCATACATTTGCATAACCCATTAACTCGTGATTCTTACTCTATTTTCAGCTCATGTACTACAGTTATTAGACGATTAAAGCGTACATTACGTCTTCCTATTCTGTCTCCTTTCTAATCCCGTCCTGGAACTACTCGACTCTCGCAACATGCACATAGCACCAATAAGTCGTCAAATGGATAACGAGGGATTTTCTGTCTTCTTTGAAGGGGGTTGGATGCAAACCGTTCGATCCTTGTGCCTCTTCACGTTGTGCTTTAATTCTTCTCATAAAAGGAAAATAAGTTTAACACTTCATTTACCTCTAGGTTATTATGCAGCTCGAGATAGTTATGGTTAAAGCACGAACTTACTGACCGGAAAGTCCATGATTCAGACCCAAACCCGGCATCTCGACTGCTACTGTCTAGGCTGGGCAACCTGACAGCGTCTCGCACCCTCAGCACGATAGCCAAACCTTCCCTGTTCTCGCTTTCCCCTCGATCCTAGACTATCCGCTCCCGCGGTGACTCCTACGACCATACTTAAGCAAACTGCCCACAGTAGTCAAACGGACTGACTGACATGCAGTGAGCTTCTAACTCGGTCCAGTATTCTAGGAGGGTTCTGGAGGGCTCGTAAATCGCTTTTCCTTTTTTGCATTTTTATTTGGATACATTAACATTTATATGACCACGTGTTCTAATCGACTCGTCAAAACGGAACACACCAATGACAACTACCAAGCAAGCCATTCCTGACTGCTGGTTGATAGATATGAAAGCAGAGACTACCGAGCTAACGCATTTGATCCTTCCTTTCCAGCTTCCATTAAATCAATCTGCTCATCGGGATTAACATCAGAAGTCACAAATGGACGACCACTGGACCGTTATTTAGAATTATATCTTTCTGTGACTTTGTTAAAATCGTCTTTTTGCGATATGTAACACTGAACGTTTCGCCAAAAAGGTTCCTATATACTTCCTGTAGGTACAGCCCACTATAGGTTGGATCACCCAGTTGAATACGATACCTATAGGCCAAACAAACATCTACCTGTGTTTGAGTCTACGCTAAATCCCTCGTTACTGTCACATATCAAGGATTACACGACGGTTCGGGCATAACACAGTACAATATCTCTGTCCAGCTTGCTAACCGACCACTACAAAACGGAATATACAACGCACGGTTATTACTAGTCGTTTGGTATGGACTGTCTATATAGACCAAAAGCATCTTTGAGTTCAGGTACAAGCCCTAAACCTGCTGACCTACAACACTAGCCAATTCGATTCAGCGGTATTATGTGATGTGAGAATCTACCTTGACCCAGAACCCACTATTAAATCAGCCCCACCATCAAGCTCGTGTGCGGTCCGCCAAAGATTGCCTCCCCACACATCACTTTTGAAGGAAACCCTAGCTTCCAAAATGTCTGTGAACTTCAAATGACAGCCTGACTAACACATCTGATGGTATCACGATGAGAAGCTGAGGCATCCATCCACCGGATACCACCACAGGCAATAATTGTCTATGGAACCCGGAAACTGCTTGAGTTCACTAACACCCAACACCACATCCACTGAAGAATCCCAAACACCATTACCTTCAAAAGATCACCTATAATTGAGAACGATTTGCATCGATTTGGGCACAATGTTATCCCTTTAGTACCAAGCAATTGAGAAGCTATGCTCTGGTACATGGAGTAAGGCTGCTTATTGAAATAAAACTGAGTTGTTGGTCAAGAGCTCCTAAAAGTAACTACGTCAACGACCATTGGAAAGCTGCTCAGGGTTTACACCGTGGTCGATCAACACCAGATGACTTCAAGTGACTGCCACAAAATCGAAATACCGGTATGATCTGTGTTCGCAGTCGCCAAGAGTGTTACACGGATATTGGAAGAACTCAAACGACCAAAAACCGCAGGTAAGAAGAAAAGGTAGGTAACACTTTATTCTACTGTCTCTCTAAATCCACAGCGGCAAATAACATTCTCACTCCTCAGGGCCCCTGAGGTACGGTGGAGTTGGATATCCCCAGTATTGGCACATAGAAGCAAAAAAAGGCGTTTTTCCATCACCCCATGGAAGTGGCTGAAAGTAGGGTAACATCTTACAACGCGCCCACCTTAATGTATCTTGGCATCTTTCGAACATAGCTTGGACCCTCGATCTTCTCGCGCTCTTTACGCTCATGTTCTCGCCGAAAAACGAAAAAGAACGCCCAGACATTGGAAGGCAGCGCAACGGCAGTCACCAGAAATAAAAACATGCGTGTTCCTAAGAATATTAAAGATTGAAATTACACAATTCTCACGCTTCGGTGCAATTGTCGCTTCATGAAAGTGTAATTGGAAGTTCCTCTTTGAAGCCTGAAGTAGTGGGGCAGTGCTTAGGAGTCTCAGCATTTTATAGCCACCTATTTGAAGGACGCGCGCACTACGCCAGCTGAATTCAGATTCGCAAGTCAGGATTTTGACTAGAACGCAGTGAAAGCAATCTGGAGTCTTGCGCTTTGGATCTTGGCCTTGCTGTGGTGTCAGTGAGCATCACTTCAAGACACGTGAACATCGACATCTGTCCATCAAAACTTGCTCCGAAGGAATTATAATTAGTAAACCCAGTAGTTTAAATCGCAGGTCCCGCAGGTTAATAAAGAAAACGCAAGTCTTGTCATTCATTTGTCCCACATTGATTTCTTGGGGTTCGTTGATAGGTGCAAAGATTCCAAGTTGCAGAATAAGGCAATTGTGGGGAAGTCCACCCTCAGCGCCTCGGCTGTCTGGAGATGAGAATGGATCGTGAGTAAACGGGTTCCAGTCTGGTGTTCTAGGGTGGTTTCATTGGATTTAGTGCGCAGCCGGTAGATGGACCAACGTAAGGATCATAGGGAAGCAAGTGAAAGACAGCTGGTTGTCTCATATTCCGTTTCACTCATCTTAGAGAGCAAAGCCTTGGGCTCGTGTCTTGTGTGTGCGGTAGTCACAATAACCATGTTTTGAATTGTGTGGCCCAGTGAACAACAAGCAGTCCTGGTAACTGTTAACAGTAAATAGGAGACTAATTTATGGGTTTATGCAGTTAGACAGAGCGAGATAGTTCGGTGTGGCCAGATTGGTTCATTTGACCGCTGCATGAAACTGGCTACCTGAATAGGTTTTGGGGATGAAGCAGCTGGAGTCTTTATTGTTTGATGCACTGATAGAGCAAGGACAGTCCAGCTCAGCAGTGTCGTGAGGCTGTAAGTGCGGTACTGCCACTTATCTGGGAGAGATACTAAGAAATGTTTTGCGCAACTACCCTGGCCTGATCAATACTGACATGATTTTTTGGTAGGTAGACTGGGAACTGTGTTGTAACAACTGTGGAAAAGGAAATAAGTTCATTCGTCACACCATCCATTTTCTAAGTGTCCTTCGTCGAACCGAACAGTTCCTCACAATGTGCGTTAGCTATGATGAGATGCGACCACCTTCACGATTTCCACGAGTCGTTCAGGGACAGAGAAGGAAGATGACTTCAAAGAGCTGTCGCCATTCTGGCTAGGCCAGCAACATGACAGGTCACTTGGAGATGCCGCCGGTTCGTAAGTGCTATTTCTGTCCATTTATTCCTGAAATAATCCATCTGTTACCCTGGCTAGTGCATACCTGCCTGGTAGTTTGTTTGATGTGGTGACGTCCATCGACGACATGGTGGCAAATTGATAGCCGCTATGTTTTCTGCACTTAGGATTTTCCAGCTATCTTTGTAGCCGCTGCTATATAGAGATGGGTCTCGTGTTCGAAATACGGACGCAGAGTAAATTCCGGATACACAACCCTTATATTTCCTCAAAAAGACTGCGCTTTTACCCGGAATCACTGATTGTCACACTAAAGTGTCCTTGTGATGTAAATTAACGTGTGTCATGCACTAAACCTTGCCGAAGTTTTTTCGAATAAATGACCACTGACATTCAGTTATAGACGCCATGCGCCGCGGAACATCTGCACTTGTTTTCCCTTACGGTGGATAGTGTACAAAACTGACAAATTAACAGCCATCTTGCCGGTAGCTTTATTATAGCCCATATAGTTATCAGTAAGCGGATGTCCCGCATTATGTGACCATGATCCTCTGGAAGCTAAAAGTTAAACATACTACTACTAATAATAATAATAATGTTAATTCCCAACTTGTGGGTGGCATAGCGCCGAGAATGACCATGCGCTTACAGTCAGAATGGGGCATGACTGGAATAATCGCGGCCAGTGGGGATTCCGCGAAAAGGGGACAATTTCATGAAAAGTGAGGAGTATTCGATGAAATAATAATAACAGGTTTCTTTCGCAGCTTGTAGGGAACAATGGGCATTAGGTCCGACTAATTCAAAGACTCAATCGGTTGACATGAACTAGAACTGGAAAACCACTGCTGGCCATGAGTGACCTTGGGCGGTTGGGTAAACGGCCGGAGTCACAACGAGCAAAAGTGGAGGTGGAGATGGGATAATTCGAACTGGGAGAACACGGCAAGTTTAGTCTCAAAAATATGGTGCAATCTGAGAACAAGCAGACTCACTGGTTGCACTGTTTCTAGGAAAGTCAGGTGCAGGGGTTAGGTTGGAGGTGGACACAGAGGTGGCTGGATTCGAACGAGTAGTCCAACAGGTTGGAATGAATGTCATGGTGGTAGTTGGGGTCAATGAAGCGAGTAGGCAAGTGGAATCGGCTGGAAGGAGGAATGGAACAGTTGCGGGTGTGGTATCAAACTGAGTATGGCAGTGCCGTGCCAACATTGGCCTGATATGCTTCAGTTTTTGGACAGCCCCGTGACGGATGTCACATTTGAGATGATTTGGCTGGGGTGTATAGTTCATTGGTATTCACCTCATTTCACTACCAGAGCGCATTCTCCAGTTGATGATTTGCCCCACGAAACACTCTCACACATAACATCGCGGAACGCTTCTGCTCTACATGGCAGCCCACACCAACGCTCCGAGGCCGTTTAGCCACGGTGCGATCGCCATGAGTACCAAAAATTCCAGTCCTGCCGTCTCGTTGACAACTGCCATTTCACATCTCCTCCGCGACTTGCCTCTACCAGCGTCTGTATGCTGTCTGTCTGTTCGAATTGACTGAGCTGTCTTTACTAGTCTTACTTTCCCCCGACCAAAAAATGGTAGCTGGAGTATTTATTAATGCACAAACCTTACTTATGAGTGCTTGGATGGTTTTCCACCCTGCAGATCTGGCAGCATGCACGAGGGAAGAAAACATCGTGTGGTGGGCGTGTACGCCCTGCAGGGAGGGTCGCCCTGTTACGTTGCACCATGGTGCGTTCGTATACCCGCCACCCCTCCAGTAGCACGGGTGCATCGCCCATTGCCGGTGGTTCTGAGTGTGGCCTTTAAATTCAGGAAATCAAAAAAAGTACTGCTGACTTCTGTTTGTTGCTGGAGTTGGGCTCGCCTCGGTTGAGGTATGCATCTGGCAATACCATAAACCACAGATGAATAAACTATCCTCTCATCCTGGAAGAAAAAAAAACAATAAAAAATTAATTCACTTGGGACAGCTGAAAGATACTCTGCAAGTGCCCATGGCCCGCATCGGCGAGCACAGCTGTATGTTCCTTCGTCACAACAGGTGCTACACCGCACCAAAGCCCATTTCGTCATCCAAACAGAGAATATATCTACTCGCCGCTCCCAGTGATAGACACTGACTGGTGGTATGCACCCGCTATGCACCATCTACAGATTAGAGCTGATAGCAGTGCTTCGGGGACTGATCATACTTCTCTTGCACACACTTTCTCCCTTGGTATAACCCAACTCATGCAATAAATACCAGATCAGCCAGTTATCTTAGAGGTCCACTCACACCAGCCCTTAAGCATGTGATTCGATTACCACGCCTCTACGCGCTTTTATTGGCTTTTACTAGATCCCTTGCAATGTAATACCGTATGTTAGCAAACTCAACCCCTGGTCGCTAGCCACCTAAGTACAAGTTTATCTAATTCCTACTCCATATAATCACTTGTCATCACCCTAATTGCAGCAGACGTCAATTTTTGTGTTTATTAATACATATTATCCCATCTTATATCCCCCAAATTCACTATGTTTTGCGAATCTTCCCCCATCTTGACCCCAATACCACCATGACATTCATTCCAACCTGTTGGACTACTCGTTCGAATCCAGCCACCTCTGTGTCCACCTCCAACCTAACCCCCGCACCTGACTTTCCTAGAAACAGTGCAACCAGTGAGTCTGCTTGTTCTCAGATTGCACCATATTTTTGAGACTAAACTTGCCGTGTTCTCCCAGTTCGAATTATCCCATCTCCACCTCCACTTTTGCTCGTTGTGACTCCGGCCGTTTACCCAACCGCCCAAGGTCACTCATGGCCAGCAGTGGTTTTCCAGTTCTAGTTCATGTCAACCGATTGAGTCTTTGAATTAGTCGGACCTAATGCCCATTGTTCCCTACAAGCTGCGAAAGAAACCTGTTATTATTATTTCATCGAATACTCCTCACTTTTCATGAAATTGTCCCCTTTTCGCGGAATCCCCACTGGCCGCGATTATTCCAGTCATGCCCCATTCTGACTGTAAGCGCTTGGTCATTCTCGGCGGTATGCCACCCACAAGTTGGCGGAACGCTTCTGCTCTACATGGCAGCCCACACCAACGCTCCGAGGCCGTTTAGCCACGGTGCGATCGCCATGAGTACCAAAAATTCCAGTCCTGCCGTCTCGTTGACAACTGCCATTTCACATCTCCTCCGCGACTTGCCTCTACCAGCGTCTGTATGCTGTCTGTCTGTTCGAATTGACTGAGCTGTCTTTACTAGTCTTACTTTCCCCCGACCAAAAAATGGTAGCTGGAGTATTTATTAATGCACAAACCTTACTTATGAGTGCTTGGATGGTTTTCCACCCTGCAGATCTGGCAGCATGCACGAGGGAAGAAAACATCGTGTGGTGGGCGTGTACGCCCTGCAGGGAGGGTCGCCCTGTTACGTTGCACCATGGTGCGTTCGTATACCCGCCACCCCTCCAGTAGCACGGGTGCATCGCCCATTGCCGGTGGTTCTGAGTGTGGCCTTTAAATTCAGGAAATCAAAAAAAGTACTGCTGACTTCTGTTTGTTGCTGGAGTTGGGCTCGCCTCGGTTGAGGTATGCATCTGGCAATACCATAAACCACAGATGAATAAACTATCCTCTCATCCTGGAAGAAAAAAAAACAATAAAAAATTAGTTCACTTGGGACAGCTGAAAGATACTCTGCAAGTGCCCATGGCCCGCATCGGCGAGCACAGCTGTATGTTCCTTCGTCACAACAGGTGCTACACCGCACCAAAGCCCATTTCGTCATCCAAACAGAGAATATATCTACTCGCCGCTCCCAGTGATAGACACTGACTGGTGGTATGCACCCGCTATGCACCATCT